CCTGGCCTCCAACTCAAAGCAGTCCTGTCTCAGCCTCCTGAGTGCTGGGATTACAGGTGTGTGCCACTGCACCCTGCTGGATTTAGGGCTTTCACACTGAGATATCTCCCTTGCTCCTTTTATTTTTTTCTTTTGAGATGTAGTCTCTGTCACTAAATTGACCTGGCTAAGCTGATTTTGATTCTTCTGCCTCAGTCTCCCAGAGTGCTGGCAGTAAAATTGTGTAGCCCCACACCCAAGTAGCATATGGGATTTGAAAATACTCATCATACAATTTTCTTTTGTCTGGAGAGTTTAGTCTATTTGCATTTATTTGATTCCTGATATATCTCTATCAGTTTACATGCTGCATATATCTTGTGTTTTTCTTCTTCTTTTTTTTTCTTTTTCTTTTTTTTTTTTTGTTTTCTTTTGAGACAGAGTCTCACTATGCAGTTCAGGCTGGCCTTGTGCTCACTTTTGTAGCCCCTAGGCTGGTCTTGAACTCGAAGAGATCCTCCTGGCTCCACCTCCTGAGTGCTGGGATTACAGGTGTACACCACAATCCCTGGGGCTGCAGGGTGGGTGCCCGCATCTGGGGCTAAGACAGTGCCGGGGATCCAGGTGAGCGTTTGCCAGGTAGGTGCTTATGGCTCTGAGCTATCTCTCTGTTTTTCTTTCTTTTCCTTTTTCTTGGAGACTTTGTCAACCTAGGATCATGCCACATATCCATCTGAGTTTTTGCAATTGGTGTGGAAGCTCAAGTGCTCCGTGTGGGGGCTGCCTTGTGGATATGGCTTCTCACAGGAGACCTTTCCGCTACTTTCTCCTCAGATCGAGAGGTAAGTGTCCTCTGCTGCCTGGGACAGGCGGTTTGTTTCTTAAAGTCTGTTATAAAGCAGGAGGAGCCTGATGCCCCACCTTTGTGAGGGCGGGATATACATTTCAGAGCACGTCTGCAGTGACTGTTGTGGGTCACTGACAAAGCAGATGCTGTTGGTGCTGCCCAGGTGGTGCCCTTGATCTTCACTGAAACTGTGTAGCTGCGTCACATGTGAGCCTGTGTCCTGTGGCGCTGTGGACACTGTCAACTAGAGTAGTATGAGTAAACATCAGTCATCTTTCTTTGGATAAATTGTTAACTAGATGTTCTAGTTCACATCATTCTTAGAAGAGCTGAGGGAAGGAAAGAAGAGAGGAATGGGTCATTGTGCTCGATGGCCATTAAGGTAAAGGGTGAAGTGTTGAGTTAAAATGAGCTGGAAACTGCAGGTACAGTCCTTTCAGCTCTAGTAATTGAGAGCTTGGTTTCTGCGAAGAGCTAAATTGTACACAGAATCACATGAGCTGCGGGGGAGCCCTTGTGGTGAAGATGGTTGGAGTGACACCTGCTCTCTCTCTGACGTGTTTGCTCAGAGATAATGACCTTCAGTCCATTTTCTAGCACCAGTTCCCACCGATAAGCCGCAGCACAGGAACTTTGTTCTCTTGCTTCTACTCCTATCCTTAGCTCATCAGAAATTTCTTGTTGGATTTTTCTTCTTACCTCCAACCTCCAGGCACTTTAGTTTTTCTACAGTCACTTGAAATATGTCTACAATAATTCTTCTTCTCCTCCTCCTCCCCCTCCTCCTCCTCCTTCTTCTTCTTTAACAAATTCTTTGATAATTCTCCATTCAAGAGGTAAGCTTTGGGCTGGCGAGATAGCTCAGCAGTCTAAAGCAAGATAGCTCAGCAGTCTGAAGTGCCTGCTTAGGCAAGCTTAGGCAAATGCGCAGGGACTGTGGTTCAATTCCCAGCACCATATGGCACACCAGCCCTGCCCTCAGGGTAGGCTGAGCTAGCCACAAAAAAAAAAAAAAAAAAGAGGTATGCCTCATGGGCATGGTGACACATGCCTATATTCCCAGTACTTGGGAGGCTGAGGCAGGAGGATTGCTATGAGTTCAAGGCTAGCCTTTGCTACATAGAGTTCAGGATTTTTTTGTTGTTGTTGTTGTTGCTCGAATGCCTTCAGGGCACTTTTGGCCAGCGGGAGAGGTGTGAGGTTCGAACTCCAGCAACCTGAGGCTGACAGCTTTGTGGAAGCAGCCACTTAAAGGCCTGAGCTAGGGCCAGGCCCCCTACATAGAGTTCAGGACCAGCCTGAACTACCAAGTGAGACCCTATCTCAAACCCTCTGCCCTTCCAAAAATAAAAAAAGGAGTGGAAAGTGATGCCTAATTCCCCTTTAAGAGTGAAATAGATTTAGTAACTCAGTTCTATGATTAAAAATTGGTGGAATTGATGTTAATGCTTCTGAGACTAGGTCAGAAAAGACTCTGGCTTCCATCTTTTTTTTTTTTTTTTTTTTTTGGTATTTTAGGGTAGGGTCTACAGGGTTTACAGGGTCTCACTATGTGGATCAGACTTGCAGTGATCTGCCTGTGTTCAGCCTCCCAAGAGGTGGGATTGCTGGCACGCACCACCACACCCAGTCTCAGGTTTCCATCTTGCTCCCCTTGAGTTTCCTGCTCTGGGAAACAGGCTGCCTTATCTGAGGGCATCCAAGCAGCTGTGAAAGTTTATTAAGTGAAGTCATTCTTGTCATACCCCACTAAAATAGAGTTGAGGGCCAGGAGAAGGAAAAGTAAACAGTTCATGGGTGCCCACTCCTAAGATTCTCATAGAATCAACCTGGTGAAACAACCTGTCTTAGCTTTCAGACTGTTTTTATTTAATTTAATTTATTTATTTATTTATTGCAGTACTGGGGATTGAACTCAGGACCTTGAGCTTGCCAGGCAAGTGCTTATTCTACTGAGCTATCTCCCCAGCCCCAGGACTGTTTTTAATTAGCAATTGATGACAGAATTACCAGTTATTTCGACAAGTCCAGATTTACACAGTAACTGCCACCATTGTCTAGAGTTTGTCAGCTCCTTCAAGAACCAAAAGTGCCAAAGAACTGTCGCAATAAATTACATAGATCTTTCTGTCCTGATAAAAACTTTCCTTCCAGGCATATGACAGGTCACTCTGGCTTGTGTGTCCCGTGTATCCCAAACCATCATCCTATTCTGCCTTTATTCCCATGTAAAATTTCCCATTCTATTTTAGTCTGACTTTGACATAGCCCTATGGAGAATGCATGGAGAGAGTAATCAAGGTCTGTCAGTCACCTAGGACCTGCAAGAACCTGCCAGTAGTCACATGTATGAGCCATTGTGAGAGTGTCTCTTTCAGTCCCCTCAAACTTTCCAAAGACTAGCCTGACCAGAAATTTTCCTTCATATCCAGAAGCAGAACTGCATATCTAAGCCACTCCCAAATCCTTGACCCACAGAAACTATAATTGTGATAAATATCTATTTGTTAAGCTGTCAGATTTGGGGGCTGATTTATTATACAGCAATAGATAACAAATAAATCCCCTCACATAAAATTATGCTTTGTCAAGCAGCTGGCTTATTTGTCTTTATAGCAGGTGTTTCCTTGGTAACTGTTAGAATAATCACTAGGATTTTGTCTGTTCAGGAAGGTACCTCACTCCTGTTCCCTTCCCAAGGGGCTGGGAGCCCCAGGCAAGTGCCATTGAAGTCCAGATGTTGGCAGGGCAGCTGACCTTGAGGCTCCCAGTGCTGACTGGTTGGGTCAGCCTGGATTCCGGTGCTCAGTAAGCTTGTGGCCAGGGTGTTCCAGAAGAAGGGACCTAAAACAGGTCATGTTGATTTGGTGGCTGCCTGTGGCTCATGGAAATGAGGGATTACCACAGCCATGATCTTTAGCCTGGCCTGGAGACCGACTGGACTGAAGTAATTTTTCCTGATTCTCCCAGTCATAGGGCTCTATTCTCACTCCACTGTAGGTTGCACATAAAGTTTTGGCTCTGAGTTGGGAAGAGAAAGGAATAGTGGGAACTTGGAAAATATTTTAATAGTGTATATACTATGAAGTCTGTGTGAAGTCTCCATCTCTTTATCAGGGCTCTGCCTGACTTCCAGAGTGTGGAGGAATTGCCCTGAGAGCTCTTGGGGACCTGGTAGGGTTAACAGTAGAGATGTCTGACTGAAGGAGAAGACTCCTTTTTTTTACTCTTTGGTACTGGGAATTGAACTGAGGATCTTGTGCTTGCTAGGCACTTGTGTTGTGCCACTGAGCTACATCCCTGGCCCAAGACACCCTTTTCATGCCCTCAGAGATAGGGCGTGAGATGGTCCTTTGCTTCTGAAGTCACACAGCTTGCCTATCAGGTAGCTCAAAGTAGATGAAAGGAAGCACCTATGTGCAGGATACCTGGGCCACTGGAGAGTCCTAGACTGTGACTCCCACTGTGCCATAAGCCTTTGCCCCTGATGGCACAGCCTCCTTAATAGTCTGGCCTCCCTGATGTAATGCCTACCAGGAGGCATTCTTCACAAAGGCTCTGCATTGTAACCTATGAAAAAGTACCAAACCATCCATTGTACTTTTTGTGTGTTTAGTTGGCACCGTCTTTCCTCAGGCTAGGTGCAGGGGCTATCTCCACTCTTCTTATTCACCATGACTAGATTTTGGGTCATTTACCTTTATTTTCATTTGCTTCTAGGGTCTTTCATTTAAGTCACTTTACCTCCTTTGGATGGAGGTTGTGGTCATAATCATAGGCCTCTGTGCATCTTCCTCCAAGTTAGTGGAGCTGCAGAAATCTGAGTCCTAATATGTGTACCATGAAGAAAAGTCTCTGAGGGCAGTCATGGTCCCATTTCTCCTCCCCAAGTCTCAAGCCCAGGGAATTCACTACCAGGTGAGGCCCAGAGGTGCCCAGACCAAGATACTGGGGGGACAGTGCAGGAAGGCACCACTTCTCCTGGAAGGCAGGGGAAACCATTGTCCTCCTCTTGGTTGCCAGCAAGAGCCCGAGACTAAGCACAGTTCCCATGTTAAATGAGAGAAGGAGAGTATGCATGTGTGTGATCAGAAAGAGGACACCAGTTTGGGAATATGTGAAAGGGTGGGCCCAAGCCTCAGCTGCTAGACGGGGGCTCCTTTGAGTCCAGCAATCAGTGAGGAGGCCTCTGCACGTGCTTTCCCGAGGCTGACCTCCAGGGATGAGTGTGAGACAGGGCTTTGCCAGAATCGGGTCCGACTCTGGGAGGCTGAGATCCAGAAAGGTGCTGGGAGGCAGGCAGCAGGGTCCCACTGGCAGGGCTGGAGGGCCCAGCACCCCGTGCCTTCTTGTCCAGGGCCTGGCTTTGGCTAGCAGAATGAGATGTGGGCTCTGAGAAATAAAGACAAGAACATGGGTGTGGGAGATTCTGTTAGCCTAAATTAGAACAGCCCCCTAAAGCTGCCCTGTGCTGTCTATAGATTTTATTCCTGTTTGGTGTTGTTGGAGCTGTCAGGTTGCCTTCTGAGGCTTGGAGCTACCTTGGCCTGGCATCTGCATAAACGTCTGCTGGAGGATTGTGGTCTGCTTGCTGGAGAGATAGATTTCTAATACTCTAGCCCTAGGCTAGAGCTCCTAGGTTTTCTGGGGTATGAAACAGAGACAAAGGAACGGCAGCCTCCCATTGTGACCACTGGGCCAGGTATGGTGTGGAAGGGAAGAAGTGGCGCAGCTTCGGCATTGCATGCATTACCTGGCGCTCATTCGCTGGTCTCCTCCCCTTCCCCTAGCTGAGCTAAGGACAGTGATTGGCCTGCTCATCACCACACTCAGCTCCTGTTCCTTTGGGGCACAGAAATGGACTGTGTGCCCCTTGTGCACAGGTGTGCCTCGCATAGCTCCCCTGCGGACAGAGCCCTGGGCTGAGAGGAGTCAGGGTTCCCACGTCTCTGCTGTGGCCATCAGCAGAAACACTGAATTTGGACTTTATGCTGAGTTAGATGCAAACTTGTACTGTGTCTAGGTCTTTATCTATTTTGGGCCTGTTGCAGCAGCTAGAACCATTTTAGCTAATACTTAGAAAATTATTGAAGAATAAATTAAAGTGCAATTGCTAAGAAATTGGGACACTAATAGATAAAAATTTTCTAATTCTTAAAATATCAGTCATTTCTTGTGCATCTCCTTCAGTTCTCACATCCAAGGCCCACATTACTACACACTGACACTTTGAAATAGAGACAATCCTAGGAAAGTAGTGTCACCTCAGGGATTGTCTCTTTCAACTTGACCTTTCCTCATGCTCAAGTTGGAGCCAGTCTACTGTGACACTTTTTCACTTTCAGAACTTTCTTTTTTTTGAGGTTGGATTTCAGTAGTTTAGGTTAACCTTAAACTCCTGGTATTCTCCTGCCTCAGCCTCCTGAGTGCTAGGATTACAGGTATACATCACCAAGCCCAGCTCTTTTAGGAACTTTTTATGTGATCTTTTCTCACTCTTAGTCTAGATAGTCTAGTGCTTTTTTTTATGGAATACAAACTACTTCCACCTGCTGGGATCCATTGATTTGTCCTTTGTTAATGGCTCTGTCAGGCACTGTACCTGCAGAGTTCCCTCTCCTTACCGCTTCCTGGGGTAGGGGCTGTGCTAGCTCTGTATTGACTGCCCAGCTTCATCTGCCTATAATTGTCAGTATTCTGATTTCAACCTCAAATCAGTCTGACTTCACATCATACACTCTTTATATCTTTCCAGGTAGCCCTGTAGGAACATCATGATAAAGCATTTACCTGCCTTGGTGATTTGCAGCTGGGTGCCAGTTTTGGAGCTGCTTTGGGGTGTGTCCCCTGAATCTCTGTCTGTGGCTCTGTTTTTGACAGATTTGTGGCTCTTCTCAACTTCTCGGAGCTGCAGGAAAAAATGAAAAGCAGGTTCTGGTCAGGGGTGGGGGGTACCTGAGGCTCAGAAATGCGATGGCGAGTGTGGAGAGCAAGATTGTTTTCCGTTCCTGCTGATTACCCTCAACCGTCTGTTACTGCTCCTCACAGCTAACTGCAAAGCACACCCGAGGCCCCAAATCTGCATAGCATTGAAAGGAACAGCTAGCTCCCTCTCCATTTCCATGATTTTCTATATCTGGGCAGAAGCCTAGTGAAATGTCCAGAACTAATTATGGTGGGAACCCAGCAGCAAGACAGAGTGATGGTGTGTGTGGCGGGAAAGAGCACTCGACTCTCTTTCTCTTCTTTAGCTACCTCTTAAAAATTGTCATTGTTATATACCTTCAAATAGTCTCAAATGCATAGAGCTGACTCTCATAAGGATACTTCCCATAATGCATATATATATATATATATATATTCCCCCCCCTCCCCGGAACCAGGGATTGAACTCAGGCCCTTGCCCTTGCGCTTGCCAGGCAAGCGCTTATTCTACTGAGCTATCTCCCCAGCACCTGTGCATATATTTTTGAGTTCAGTTTAGAAGAAAGCCATTCAGAGGTAATATAGCAGGATCACAGAGAAAATTGGAAACAAAACAAGACAAAGCACAGCACCCCAAAATCATGACATTCTCTCACCCTTCAAGATGAAACTCCTGACTTACCACTTGGATTTTCTTCCTCAGCTGGGCATTAGCTCTGGAAAGACTTTTGGAAACAGAGTTCAGGTAGTAGATTGCCAGGCTGCAAGAGACAAGCAGGCCTCCTGTGGTGGGGGATGTTGGAAAGTGCTAAGAGCTGGATGCCTATGCTGGGGAATCAAAGTTGAGTCCCTGGAATAGGAGGGAAGGCTTTGCCTCTGGGCAAGAAGGAGGCGATTCTACCCTCCTTGTTCTTTTAACATGGCCCTGAACCTCCCTGCTTCTCTGTTTCACTGAGTGAAGCCATAGTGTACACATCTCCTGCACTCAGAGTGCACAGTAAAAGCTGGCAAAAGGAGCTGCTGTTCTTGTGTGAAAGCTAAAGAAGCAGGAGAGTGGTGGGGTTTCCTGTTTGTGGAAGAAGCTGGTGATGGGCACTTGCTCCGTGCGTAGGCACTGTTCTATGTGCATGCACACACCTATCTCATGGGTTGATTGATGACTCTGTGAGGTGAAACGGGGGACTCACGTGTTTACAGAGAAGTACCCTGGGACTCACAGAGGTATAACTTGTCCAAGTCCAGCCCACCTGTTAGAACTCCTTGGAGCCCACATTTGAAGCCAAACAACAGTCTTCAAGTCCAGAGAGAAGACAGAAACTTAAGCTTCTTATCTCCAAGAGATGCAACTGCAGATGCCCTGACGGTCGTCTGCCCAGGTCACACTGGAATGTCTGGCTCTGACCTGAGTTTTTGAGTCCAGGGCCATTGACTGACTAGGTGATTTGTGTCCTCTGAAGCTGCAACCTGGGCTTCCCTCCTATAGGACCTGTGATCTGGGGCAAAGATATGAACTGTACCATCTGAGAGGGGAGGGTACAGAAGCCAGAATTCTGCCTGGGTTGGCTGCCCCACCACTGTAGCCTGCCTGTTTTAGGTCCCTCTTAGTCACTTTCCTCCATGACTTCAAGTCGCAGCTGTTTCCTCTTGGATCTTCTGAGCCTCCCCTTCAGGGCTAGATCATCTATGACTAGAGAAGAGGTGGTGCTTTGTCTCGAAGGCAGAGTGTAGGTCTGAGCTGTTGCATGGGCCTCTCAAAACAGGATGGTGGGAAAGGAGAAGAGGGCAGGGAAAGCAGATGACAGGACCAAGATTTGTTGCATAGCCTCTACTGTGCCAGTCCGCTCCATCTTCCCTAGATAACCCATTGAATAGAGTGAAATTAGGGGACAAAGAGGTGATTTGTCTTGCTGGCAATAACCCAACAAATGGCAGCTGAAGTCCTCAGTGGTGGCTGCCTTCCTAAGGTCATTTCCAGATTTAGCATTTTTCCTTGCTGCCTGCCAGAGTCAGGTTTGGTGTCTGAGTTCCTTAATTTCCTCAGGTCACAAGGCAGACTATGGTCACTGTGACGTCATCTCCATCATACCAGGATTAGAAGCAGAGGGATTTGAAACCAAGGATGCAACGTGAATGTGGTTTAAAAAGGGGGGACAGCGAGATAGCTCAGTGGTCTAAAGCACCTGCTTAAGCAAGTTTAGGCAAAGCATGGGGATTGGTTAGATCCCTGGCACCACATGCCATTCCAGCCCTGCCCCCAGGGTGGGCTGAGCTAACCACAAAAATAAACCTTTCTTCTTTTTTTTTTTTTATTTTAAGGAAGGGCCTACAGGGTGTTCAGGCTCTCACTGATAGATCAGACTGGTAGTGATCCACCTGTTTACATCCTCCCAAGAGCTGGGATTACAGACACATACCACCACACCCATTCTCAATTGCTGTCTCAGCATGCCCTAGGGGTGCGGCTGGCATGGCAGGCCCAGGGATCGAACCCCTGGCCTCTGTGCCTGCTTGCAGGCGCTTTAATCCCCTGAGCTATTTAGTTGGCCCTAACTTTTCCTCTTTAAAAAAAAATGTGTACCTTTGCTGTTGGCATGACAGTTGGGGCAGAATACAGAAGTGGGTGTCGCTGAATGGATCAACAAATGAAAGGATTCTACATCTGTGTCATTGGGCACTGGAATTTCCTCCTGAGAGCTGGAGAGGGTGAGCAAGGAGAGGTCCTTCCTGAGGGAGGAGTTTCAGTTCCCTTCCAGGCCAGCAGCCCTGGAGGAGGAAATGACCACAGACATAGGAAGGCCAGCACCATTGACCATCCTGACTTGAAGGGGGCTCTGATGAGGGGCATCAGAGACTATTTAGAATTTACAAATAGAGCCGGGGAGATGGCTCAGTGGAATAAGTGCTTCCCTGGCAAGCGCAAGGGCCTGAGTTCAATCCCCAGTTCCGCCAATAGAATTTACAAATAGAAACAGAGAGACATGACTGACAGATGCTCAAAGGAAAGATTTTAATAAAAGCTTTACAGACCACGCAAGGCTAAGTTTAGCCCAAATATTAGCAAGACTGCCACAGGAAGTGCCTCTGAAAATTCTGTCTTCCATAAAAGCAATGAGGACTCTGGCAAAATGGTTGGAATCAACTTTTTCAGAACTTGAAAATTAGCCAAAGGTTTTCAGTGTCTTTTCAAGGAAAACAGCAGAATCTTAGAACAGTGAGCTTTGTAAGATTAAGTAGCTTTATTCCACCTCTCCTACTCAGTTCTGCAATACGTTTAAAAACCAATAGTCCAAAATCACAGTGAAAACCAGGATGTTGGCAGTCAGTGGAGGGAGAGGAATGGGGTTAAAGGTCTTTCAAATCCTGATTCCCAAATAATTGCCATTGCTTGGTTTATCCAGTGGTGGTTCCTTGGGAGATGCCATTCCTAAGCACTCTTTCTTTGATCACATTAAGATCCCATCCAACGTGAACAGCATTTTCTCTGAGAGTGTTTGTCAATTACGAGGGAGGCAGTTGTTGCATAGCATGGTTGTATGAGATGTTGAAATAGCTGGGGAAAATGCTACTTGGATGCCAAATTAATTGGCGTTAGGATCACACAGGGATCAGTGGAACACACTGTGAGTGTTTTGGATGGGCCGTGGAGGTGTGGCCCTGGGGCCTGTGCCTGGCCCCCACCCCTTTCTCCATCACAGCCGCCTGCTCTGCCTCCCAGGCCACTGTGAACTGAGTGCTTGTGCTCACTACATCCTCCCCTGGTGGCTCTGCCTCAGAGCCAGGCAACCACAGACTGAAGCCATGAGCCACATCCATCTCCCTTCAAATTGTACGTGTTCAGTGACGAGGGAGCTAATACAGCAGGTTAATAAAAACTTAGGGAAGGTGATGCTCAACTGGTGCATTGTAAAGCTTTGAAACCCTCCTGTAGAATGTAGAGAGCCATGCGCATGTTTAGTATTTGTTTTCATAGTTGTGCACACATTCAAGGAAGACAAGAAGGCTCTAATCTCTCCACTTGGGCTAACTTTGAACCGCTATTAATTCAGAGCTGAGGTAGAGTTGTAGATTGCTTGGTTGAAATTGAAGTCATCTATTTATATAGAGCCACTTGGCAAATATGTGAAGACTTTGGCACAAGGCATATGAGGACATCTCTTAAATCATTAGCTGATCACTAAGTTAACTATGCTCAGTTGTTAGATGTGTTCAGTTATCTTAGTGGTCTGCTAATGGCCATGTAAACAAAGAATATACAATTTATAGAATTAGTTTAGAGGGTTGGGGAGATAGCTTAGCAGTGTAAGTGCCTGCCTGGTAAGTACAAGGTCTTGAGTTTGATCCCTGGTGCCAAGGAAAAAAGAGGCAGTTTAGAGAAGCCACCAAACAAATGAGTAACAATAAATAGCCATAACTGTGAACCTTAGGGAGGGAATAGAATCTGGTTTTGAGAACTGTTATATATTATTAAAAATGTCCAGTTTCTAACATGAAACATAAGACATGCAAAGAAACCAGGAAGTATAATCTATACAGAGGAAAAAGTAGTCAGTAGAGATTATCCCTGAGGGAATCTAGGTGTTATCTGTACTGCAAAACACATAAATCATTTATGTTAAATGTATTCAATGAACAATGTCTAAAGAACTAAAAGTTTGAAAATGAGATTTTGTTGAATAAAAATATCAATAAAGAGACATCATAAAGAACCAATAGAAATTCTGGACCTGAAAATTATAGTAGTTAAAATGGAAAAAAAGGGAGGCTGGGGAGATGGCTCAGTAGAATAAGTACTTCCCTGGCAGGTGCAAGGGCCTGAGTTCAATCCCTGGTTCAGCAAAAAAAAGAAAAAAGAAAAAAAATGAAAAAAAAAAAAAACCTTTTAAAGCTGCTCAACAGTACATGCAAGTTGACAGAAGAAGGAATAAATGAACTCGAAGATAGGTCAGTCAAGGTTATCTAGCCTGAGGAGCAGAAAGAAAAAAGGATGAGGTAAATAAAGCTGTGGGACAGCATCGATCTGTACCTACTGGGAATCCCAGGAAGCAGGCGGAGGAGAATTAGAAAGCATGTAGTAACTGCAGACTCCTAAAAGTTGAAAAATACTAATATCTGTTAGACGCTCAACAATATATCCTAAACAGGATAATTCACATGAATCTACACTGGGACCACTCACAATAAATTGGCAAAAGCCACATTCATGGAGAGAATCTGCTAAGATGCAAGAGAGAAGCAACACATCACAGGAATTTTCAAAAAGATTTAACTAAAGTTAATTTTTTCATCAGAAACCATGGAGTCCAGACGGCAATGAGATGGCATTTAAAGTGCTGAGAAAAGAACTCAAATTCTACATCCAGCAGAACCACCCTTTGGAATGAAGGTGAAGTTGGCCAAGGGTGGTGCATGCCTGTAAGCCTAGCTGTCAAGAGGCTACACCAGGAAGACTGCTGTGAGTTTGAGGCCAGCCTAGATTACACAGTGCAGGGCCAACCTGAACTATGTAGCAAGACTCACTTTTTTTTTTTTTTTTTTTTTAAGAAAGGTGTAATTAAGATATTACTATAAGCAAAAATAAAAAAATTCACCAACAAAAGACTTTCTTTACAAGAAGTATTGAAAAGAATCAGGTTACAATGCAAAGGACACTTGATGTCACAGAGTCAGATCTACATGATGAGCTCAAGAGCAGGGTAAGGATAACTACATAGGTAATATAAGAGAGGATATCAAGATAGGCAGGTCTTTTTTTTTTTTTCCTGTCTGTTTTTGTTTTGTTTTCCAGGCAGGGTCTCATGTGCACAGTTCAGGCTGCCCTCGAATTTGCTTAGGTTGCCCAGGCTGGCTTTGAGCTCACAGTGATCCTCCTGTCTCAGTATCCTGAGTGCTGGGATTGCAGGCATGTGCCACTGTGTCCAGCATTTTCTCCTATCTGATTTAGCCAGCATTCAGTATATCAAGATACAAGTTATATGGAAATAATAGCATAGAGGAGAGAGAGAGAATGGAGTTCTATAAGAAAAAGGTTTGTATACTGTTACAGTTAAGTCAGTATTAGTCTAAAGTAGGGTTTTGTTGTTGTTGTTGTTGTTTTGTATTTTAGGGAAGGGTCTACAGGGTGTTCAGGGTCTCACTACTAGATTGGACTCTAGTGATCTCCTGTTTACAGCCTCCCAAGAGCTGGGATTATAGGTAAGGGCCACCACACCCAGTCTCATTTGCTGTCTCAGCGTGCCCCGGGGTGGGGCCTCACGGCAGGCCCAGGGATCAAACTCCTGGCCCCCTGTGCCTGCTTGTAGGCGCTTCAATCCACTGAGCTATTTGGCTGGCCCTTTATCTTTTATTTTGGTCTTTATTTATAATTTGGATTTCTTATAGAAGGGAAACCATGGGTATTTGAGCGTGTGTGTCTGATTTATTTCACTTAACATTATGGTTTCAAGGTACATTTTATTTTCCTAAAAATGACCAAGTTTGTCTTTTCATTTTGTTTTGTTCTTATTTTTTAAGACAATGTCTTGCTATGTATTCCAGGTTGGCCTTGAACTAACTCTGTAGCCCAAACTTGCCTTGAACTCTTGGTGATCCTCACATTTTTCCTTCTTTATGGCAGAGTAGTACCTCATAGTACATAAATGCCATATTTCTTTATTAATTCATCTGTTGGTGGACCTGTAATCTATTTCCAAGATTTAGCTTGAGTTGCACTGCCATGAACAAGTGTCTGTGTAATATGATGTCTTTAACTTTTTTTTTTGGCAGAACTGGAGATTGAACTCAGGCCCTTGCATTTGCCAGGCAAGTGCTTATTCTACTGAACTATCTCCCCAGCCCCTTGTCTTTAACTTTTCTAGGCCCCTACATCCCTTGGGTTCCGTGTTTCTGCTGTGCCTTGAAAGACTTGCAGTGACCAGCACCTTGACCTCTGTGCTGGAAGCTTCCCCTGTCCCTCCTAGCCTGATGGCCACCCCAAAGCCATTCTACCAAAATTGCCAGAAAATTGAACAACTCCAGTGTTCCTCAGTCAGTGACTAGTAGGATCTGGTGTATGAAAATGGGACCCTTCACTGTCTGGGGGAATAACTGAGGCACATTCTCTACCCGAGGTCCAAAGCAGGCTTGAAGCCAGTCCTCCACTAGGCAATCAGACACTTCCTGTCCTGGTCTTCCCTCAGTTCCTACCCCCCTGCTGATAAATTGCTTCCATCTGAATGTCTCAGGGGTTGCTTCTGGGAATCTGGACTAAGAGGATGACAAAGGAGGACCAAGATGGGTGTGGTGGTACACCCCTGTAATCTCAGTCCTTGGGAGGCTGAGGCTGGAGACAGTGAGTTCAAGGCCAGCATGAGTTACACAGTGAGACTGTCTGAAAAAAGCAACAGAAGAAAAAGGAGGACCTGCCCAGGAAGTCTCAGCTACAAGGGGAGGTTTCCTGGAGGTGGAGCCAGGGCCCTGGCTAACTTACAACATCAGCAGGATGGCTGGGATGATCAGTCCTGGATTGGCAAGGAAAGCAAAGATCTTGCCCAGGAAGGTCGGGAAGTCATTTTCAATAGTCTCATGGAGGACGTCATACATTCTGTTTTTCCCACTGGAAAGAGGAGAGGACACGTTACCCCCTGCTGCAAAGCTCGCGTGGCATACTCCACTGTGTCCACACGCCCATGCCTCTAGAGCTGCCATAGCACTGCTTTTCTGGAAGCACTGAGCTCTTTTCTAAATGGACTGTAAATAAACAGTGTCCCCAGTGGCTGTCACTTTGGCAAGGGCATACAGCGGGGTCTACACACTGGGTTGCCAGCTTTCTACCTCTCAAGCTATATTGATCTTCTTTCTGTGTTTGACACCTTCCTCAGCAAAACCAAGACAAGACAAAGGAAAACCAATAAAAGTAGAATAGGTTTTCTAATACATTTTAAAGGAAAAAGTTGCCTGTGATGTAACTGGGAGACCCACGTACTGCTACCTTTAGGCTCCCTGGCATGGAAACAGGTGTCTGAAGGTTGATGTGGTGGGTACTGCATGGAGCCTCTCAAACATCCCACAGTTGCACTCTACCAGTGTAGCTGCAGGAGATTGGATTGCCCAAGGTAAGCTTCTACTATCCACAAAAGTAGTTGTGATTTTCTTTGAATTCCTAAGAATCATTGTGAAGAATGACTCCACTAATGCCTGCCCAGAGATGCCTGGGTGCTGGGAGCTCTTAATTGGTATTTTGGTGCCAAGAAATGGATTTAGGAGTTTGAATTACCTGATTAAGATTCGTGCTCTCCATTGGCCAAGCAATGGCTGTGACTCATTCACATGGCTGACACTGACAAAGGTTCTACAATCTGAGGTACAGGATCTCAGGATAAATCCTGAGGGGATTTCACTGACCTTATCAGACCCAAAAGCTACAACTCTTGTTGCATAGGTCCTGCTTTACCTTGGTCTTAACCATCCAGCAGAAAAGTATAAAAATGAAATATAAGAAGTAAAGCCATGTTGTTATGTTGAGCTGTAGGGGACTCAGGTCAACAATTTCTGACATTGCCAGTCAAGCAGAAGACCCAATACTATTATGGGCTACTGGACTCTTTTAGAATATTTTGCTGAGTTTACACACCTATAATATTCAAATAATGGAACTTAACAACAAAAAGGGGATGCAGATGAATGTCCATTTTGTATCTGTGTATTCAAATGGTTAGGATAGATATACAGTTACATTCTTTTAATGAATAGAGGGATTTGTTCTAATGGTGTTTGTAAGTAGGATATCATGTCTGCATCTTTACAGCAATTAACCACTAGGAAGAATGTATACAATGTGTTAATTATTGAAACTGTCCTACCAAAAAAAAATAAATAAATAAATAAAACTTGAAAAAAAAAAGATTCGTGCTCTCCCTTTCATTAGCTTTGGGACACTATGAGCCATTTATTTATTCTCTTTATGCCTGTTCCATTCCCTGGCTATCCCCACTGGAGCTGCACTGTTAAGTATGGCTATTAAAAAGAATACAAAAATTAATTAAAATTAAATTGAAAATTCTCTCTCTCTCTCTCTTTTTTTTTTTTTTTTTTTGGCAGAACCGGGTATTGAACCGGTGCTTGTGCTTGCCAGGGATGCCAGGGAAATGCTTATTCTACTGAGCCACTTTCCCGGCCCCTTTCTTTCTTTTTAAAAAAAGTATTTGGTACAGGGTGTCAGTATACAACTCAGACTCATAGTCAATCCTGTTTTCAGCCTCCCTATGCTGGTCTCCATGGCCAGCTCAGTGTACTAAGGGGCAGGGCTAGCACAGTGTGGTACTGGGGATCGAACCCCAGTCCCTGCGGTTGCCTAAGCAGGCACTTAGTCCCCTGAGCTGTCTTACCAACCCTAAAAATTCTATTTCTTGGTCAGACACTCAAGTACCCAAAAGTACCGTGGCTGTTAGCTATTACAATAGAAGAACAGATGTGGTATATTTTCATCATTACAGAAAGTTCTATTGGACATGCTAAGGTTTGATATTTTGGTGAGATATTAAAAATTTCTCAAAAAGATTTCTCTGCGCTGGCTTCCATATGTCTGTTGATCTGTGTAGTATGGCATAAGGCTAATACGGTATAAATGGTATCATCATAGTATTTGAGACAAATTGTATTTTCCTCAGAAGGTTGTTTAGGTGACAAAGACACAGATTCATGTGAAATACCAAGTAGGTGGCTGTCGATTTACAAGTGCCTTCTAAAATGTTGCAGCCCGCAGCCTTGTTTTTCTCTTGTGTAAAATATATATCAAGGTTGACAGATACTGACCCACAGATAGCTTCAGCTTGTCACCTATTTTTATATTACCTGAGAGTTAAGAAAGAATTTTGTGTTTTCAGTTGTTTGAAAAAAATCAAAGCAATATATTTTGTAAGGCATACGAATTGAAGAAAGAAATTATGGACAGAAAACTGTCCATAAATGAAGTCTTACTGAACACGCCACACTGCTTCCCTTATACTTTGTCTGTGGCTAAGTGCCATCATGGCGAGGGAAGCAGCTGCCTCTGAGGCCACTGGTGGCCATCTGTCCCATCACTCGGCACCACCACAGCTGTGTGGCTGTAATATGACAGCGTGTCAGGTGCAGTGCATGTCACCACACCATGACATTTCATGTAATTTTTATCACTAGTCCGTACCCTTCATCTGAAAATAAGGAAAGTGGATTTAAAATATGCTTTAAGTCCAAGTTGGATATGGATTTTTTTTTTCAGTGAAGTAGATATTGTTTTAGTTCCCAGTAGCTGCTGTTGTAACAAATTGCTACATTGGTATCTTAAGAAGATGAGCTATAGGGCCAGGGAGATGGCTCAGTAGAATAGCACTTGCCTAGCAAGTGCAAGGGCCTGAGTTCAATCTCTGGTTCTGAAAAAAAAAAAAAAAAAAAAAAAAAAAAAAAAAAAAAAAAAAAAAAAAAAAAAAAGATAAGCCTGAAGTCTGAAATAGTTTCACTGAGCTTAAACCAATTTTTTTTTTATTTTTTTCGGAATTGGGTGTTGAACTCAGGCCCTTGCACTTGCCAAGGACGCACTTATTCCACTGAGCCATCTCTCCAGCCCCCAAATTGGCAGGGCTGCTGTCCCTTGGGAGAAGCTGTGAAAGAACATCGGCTTCTCTGCTGTTCTCAGCTAGAGCTGCTCTCCTTGAGTTCCTTGGCTTGTGTCCCCATCTCCCACCTTCAAAGCAGTTGTGCAGATTCCAAATCTCTGCTTCCATCACTCATGACCGTCCACTCCTGTGAAGCCGAATCTCCCTTTGCCTTCCTCCCACAAGGAGACTTGTAAACAGTGTCCATCTAGATAAGCCATGATGAGCTTCCCATCTTAAGATCCCTAAATTTAGTCAGATTGGCAAACGTTCTTTTCTAGATAAGGTCTCATTGGCAGTTTCCAGGGATTAGGATCTGGATATCTTGGGGAACCTTGCGTAGCTTCCTGTAGTCTGTTTGCCTCCCTACAATTCACATCCATCCTTCATGCAAAATATATTCATTCTACTGCTTCACCCTTAAAAGTCTCACTCAACTTATTGCAGCATTGACTTGAAGTCCAAAATATCAAAACATAAACAGCTCAAAAATTTCCCATCGTGGGCCAGGGATATAGCTCAGCAGCACAAGCACCTGCCTGGCAAGTGCAAAGACTGAGTTCGATTCCAGGTACCAAAACAGTAACAACCTCAACAAAAATTCCACATCTCATTATTGATGCTATCCAAATCAGGGATGCATGAGATTCTAGGTTTGACCCATTTTGAGGCAAAATCCTTTTCTAGCTGTGGGCCTGGGAAACTAGAAAGAAAATTATTTGCCTCAAAAATACATTGATGGGATAGGCATAGAATAACAGTTACAGAGATTCCAATTCCAAAAGGGAGCAGATGGAAAGAAGGAATGGCCAGTCCTGAGCAATCTCAAAGCTCAGTCAACTGAACTCCATTTATCTCACACTTAAGGCTTAAGAATAATCTGGTTTCCAAACTCTGTGCCTGCAGATCTGCTCTTAAGGATTGAAGCTCTGCTGTTGGAATTAATCTTCCCTTTCCTTGAAGATATTCCAGTTGTGTCAAATTTTCAACCTGTTTCCTGCCTGTAAATCCTGTGATATCTTACCTCTGTTCTTAGCTCCCATTGAGATGGTTGAGGGGATCTGAGTCACATGCTTATTCTCATCAATGAGTGCTCTGTGTGAATGAATATGAATATATATATATATATATATATATATATAATCTTTTTTGAGACAAGGTCTCACTATGTAGTTTAGGCTGGCCTTGAACTCACTTTGTAGCTGGTCTCAGCACACAAAGATCTTCCTGCTTCAGCCTCACTAGGGCTGGGGTTGCAGGTGTGCATCACCACGCCTGGCTTCCATTTCCCATTATAACAAGATTCTTGATACTGGGTAATTTATAAAGAATAAAATTTTGCTTTGGCTCACAGTTCTAGAGATGAAGTCCGAGATAGTCTGGCTGCATCTGAAGAGGTCCTGTGCTGCTTCAGCTCCTGGTGGAAATTAGAAGAGTAGGCAGGTATGTGTGGAAGAGATCAAACGCAAGGGGCAGACTTGCTTTCTAACAAAGGACTCTCAAAGTAATCCAGTCCTGGGCCAGGGAGATAACTCAGAGGCATAAGTGCCGGCAAGGTCCTGAGTTTGATCCCTGGCACTGAAACAAAATTGCCATTTCAAAGTAATCCAGTCAGGCCCAGCATGGTGACACAAGCCTATGATCCCAGTACTTGGGAGGCTGAGGCAGGAGGATCGTTGTGAGTTTAAGACCAGCCTGGGCTACAGAGTGAGCTCAAGGATAGCTTGAACTGCATACAAGACCCTATCTCAAAAAGACAAATAATAATAATAATAATAATAATAATAATAATAATCCAGTCCTGCACTCTAGTCCTGACTTGCTACTGCAAGAATTGATTTGATCTTATGAAAGGTATTATCTGCTTTACAACCCAATCACCACCTAAAGCCTGGACCTCCCACAGTGGCAATGGATTCCAACATGAGTTTCACAGGGGATGCTCAAGTGTCAGTAATGTACAAAGCCTGTAATACTGACTGCCATGCTCTTCAGTTAGCTGAGCTGGGTGTACACAGAGCTTCCCGCCTCGCAGTGCTGCCATAAGGACTGCATGTGGGCTTCATGTGATGCCTAGCACAGACCAGGCCATCTGAATACCTCGGCTGCCCCCATGTGACCATGGCTGCTCCCTGTCACGGATCAGTCCGTACATCCTGAGTGTTCTCAGAGTCCTTAGTACCTTTCTTCCTCTTTCCTTCTCCTGCACAACTGAGAGGACTGTTGGTAGAATTTCAACAAATTCAGAGAAGGAGGCAAGGTAAACCAAAACTGTATCTTATCTTCCTCAGAAGTAAAACATGAAAAAGGCTTGATTCAGAGACACAAAGTGAAATGAATCTGAAGATATCAGTGGCTACGCTCTGCAGCTTCTCCTGGTGAGTCACATTGAGTGACTGGCGTCTGTGGTCCCTCTCTGTTTTCCGTGTTGACTGGGATTAATCTTGCTTTTCTCTCAAAAAAGAGTGGATTAGTGACTAAGAAATTCAAAATACAGTGGTGCTTCGGTTCACAAATTTAATTTATTCCTGATTCTAGGAAAGCTAGCTGTATCCATATCTATGTGGGGAAGATGGCCTCAGTCTTGTTTCATCCAACACCTCATGTGGAGTTTGTGAACAGAGGCAAAATTTTGCCAAACACTTCTTTTTGCAAATCAAATTGTTCACAAATGGAAGTTGGTTTGAATCAAGCTATTACTGTGGATGTGAGTCTACTAATACGAAACTGATCCACATGCCTGTACGAACTGGATGTCACAAAGGACTTCTCTGTGCTGGCTCCAGATGTCTAGCTAGTTCTTGGCTCACTGGTTAGAGGAAAACCCAAGGCCATGGTTAAGCATCTATCCTGCTGAGACTTAGGCCAGACACAGGATCCTGACACGTAGAGACTCGCACACCTGAACACCTGCAGGAAATGGGAAAAATGCTCCCCAGCGTGGACTTCACATCCACAGGTTTGCTTTCTGTAGGTTAGTACAGTTAGTTTTAAAGTTCAAATTAATGGCTATAATAAAATATCAGAGTATTTTTAAATAAATGCTCAGACTTCTGTGATGTTCTGGAAGGTCTGGTCATAGAGGACCCATGCTCCTGATGGAACCTGTTGTAGAAACTGCCCCTGTCACTGATCAGTCCGTACATCCTGAGTGTTGGTCAGAGCTCAGGCTTAAGCTCTCAGATAAGCCTTACCATGGCTACAAGTGCTCTACAAGCAACACACTAAATCCTCACAACAGCTCTGGGAGATGAACACCCCCAGCATCTCCACCTTGTAGGCACTGGGCTTATACGGTGAGCTAGGTATCTTCCTCAGATCACCCCCCCCCCCCGTTGAAGACAGAGCTTGCTGTAGTCTATTCTGTGGCTTTTTTTTTTTTTTTTTCTGTAAAGGACAACATAATAAAATTTTAGGCTTAAGGCTAGCCGAATAGCTCAGCAGATTAAAGCGCCTATAAGCAGGCCCAGGGGCTGAGGGTTTGATTCCCTGGCCTGCTGTGCCAGCCCCACCCTTAAGGTGCACTGAGATGGCAATTGAGACAGGGCCTGGTGGCACGAGCCTGTAATCCCAGCTCTTGGAAAGCTGTAAACAGGCGGATCACTACAAGTCCGATCTAGTAGTGAGCCCCTGAACACCCTGTAGACCCTCCCCCCCCACCAAAAAAAACCAAAAAAACTTAGGCTTTGTGGGCCGGATGACCCTCTGCTCAGCTGCTCAATTCTGCTGTTATAATGGGAGAGCAGCCATAGATTACATGTAATTAAACAGATGTGTTGTGTTCCAGTAAAACTTTATTTACAAAAAATAAGTGGTAGTCTGGTTTGGCCCAGGAGCTGTCACTTGCCAAGCCCTGTTTCTAACCATATGCTGTGCGGCACTGCCTCCTCATTCATTTATGTTGCCCGCCTGGCCTTGCAGGCATTTGATCTGGTCCAAACTCTGAGTCTCCACATATGACTGAATTTTTCTGGTTTGACCATTGACCATAAACCAAATGGTAAAGCAATGAGAAAGGAAGCAAAAAAACCCCATGGTCTCATCCAGTGTATGTCCTGCCTGGAGAAAAGGCAATATATAAAATAAACAAAAGATGCCATGTTAAGATCAATGAGGAGAAACAAGTGGTGTGTGTGTGTGTGTGTGTGTGTGTGTGTGTGTGTGTGTGACCAGTTAGGAGCTCCAGGAAAGGCCTCACTGAGAGAGTGGCTTTGAGTAGAGCCTAGAACAAGTGAAAAGCAGCAGTGGAAATACTTAAGAAAAGATTCTTCTGGGAGGTGTGTGTGTGTGTGTGTGTGTGTGTGTGTGTGTGTGTGTTTCTTTGAGACAGGGCCTTGCTATGCAGTTCAGGCTGGCCTTGAACTTATTTTGTAGCCCAGGCTGGTCTCAGACTCACAGTAATCCTACTGCCTCAGCCTCCCTAGTGCTAGGATTACAGGCGTGCAACACCACGCCTACCTGTTGGTGGGTTTTGATCAAAGAGTGATGGGAGGGAGGTGACAGCTGGAAGCTATCCTTCCCACAAGTTATGTTTGAGGTTCTTTGATCTGGGTGTAGGTGTCAGGGCTGATAAAGCAGCAGAGGAGGCAGAAGGGTGCAGAGTCAGGAATGGCCCAGGTCTGCTGACAGCCACATGTTGGACACAGGTGGCAGCCTGAAGGAAAGGGTCCTCGAATCTTTACCCAGGAACAAGCCCACGGAGCTTCTCCCATGTGGTTCTCCGCTCCTCTGAATTCATCTCCTGGGCTTCAGTAACCACAGGGCTGTATCCAGGCAGGGCCCTTGTCAGCTGAGACATACTCAACCCACTGTGCCTCTTCACGCCAGGAGGCAGGACTGGCCTTGTAGCACGTTTTGAGGAAGCACTTTCTCTGAGAGCTGGATAAATGCAGGTCAGGCCCCATGCACCTGCCTTACCCCACTTTTGGGCAGGGAGAGGTTCTTAGTGAAGGTGGGAGCACTGGCTACACATGTTGTCTTCATTCATGGGTCCCCAGTGTACATCACATGAAAAGATGGCAGATAGAAAGGACAGTGTGTCTGAACTGCTCTAACTCTAGAACCCTTTGCATAGAGCAGGTAGATGGCTTTCTTTTCAGAAGGTCACTGACTTGGAAAATGCACATTATTTCCCAATCTACCTTTTTAATACTGATCCTTTTAGAAACTATCCAGACTCCCAAACTACTTCCACTTATACCCTGAACCCTCAGAGCTGGCTGGGGCTCTGCAGAGGGTGGGGACCCAGGCAAGGGCCTCAGCTGCACCTACCTCACTCTGGATGGCACTTGTGAGTTTACAGCCACTTCATCTTTAGAACGTCCCCTGCCAGATGTCCTATGGTAAGGTAATTCCAGGTTGGTAATCCCAGAGTACCATGGTGGAAGCTTATAACTGCACTACCCAATATGTAGCCACCAGCCACATGTGGTCATTTAAAAATTAATTGAAAGGTAACTATAGTCAAATAAAATTAGAAATTCAGCTTCCCAGTCCCTCATTTAAAGCACCCAGGATCCATGGGTAGCTGTGGCTACCCTATCGAGCAATACAGACCTAGAATATTTCTATTCTGGCAGAAAACTCAACAGCACTGAGGATTTGTCCGCAGCTCTCTGGCTTTTTACAAGCGGATGTGAAACCAGAACCCAAATTCTGAGCCAGGCCTTGTGAACAGACTGCCTCCCCTCGAACAGTGGTACTGCACCTGAATGGGCCACAGTCGAAGGAGGGTGGCAGGGACATGATGGTGTAGGCCACTGGCAGGAGGCTGAGGAACAGCACCAACAGCAGCAGGCCCATGTAGAAGTTGTTGGACCTGGAGGCCTTGAACACGCGCTCATGGGGCACGTTGCTGCTCATCACAGCCCAGCACTGCAAGTACATGGAGGTCAGCAGGCGCAGGACGTTGATGCCCACCAGCCCCGGAGCATAGAAGGAGCCCATCCTGGAAGGTCAAAACCAGACACTGGTTGGCCCGGTAGCAGGAAAGACAAGGGAAGGAGGATGGGAGGAATGGGGTGGAGGGGTCTGTGCATGAGAGGAAGCAGCATTCCCTGCAGGGTTCAAGAGCAGGGGCCTCCCATTTAGTGAGGACGTTTGTCACTGAGCCACAACCTTTAGGAGAAGGAGACACACTACAGATCTGGGCTCTGGTCAGAATTTTCCCACTGCTGTCCCACTAGGTGTCAGCACATCACATGCCCTGCACCCAAATTCTCTGTGTCTCTCTTGTTTTTGGACAGAGACCAGCAGGGAGTCGTTGGCACCTTGCAAGTCTTTGGCTAAGTCTTAGCTCCCCTGCTCTCTTTCCAGAGGAGGAAGTTGTTTAGTTCATGTGGTGCCTGCCTTTCCCTCTTTCTTTTCTCCCATTCTCATCTCTTTCTTTCTTTTTCTTTTCCTTCCCTCCTCCTCCTTTCCTGCTTTCCTGCTGGCCCTTTCTTTCTTCTTCTCTCCCTCTCCCTCTTTCTCCATCTTCTCCCCTCCTTTCCTCTCTCCCCATCTCTATGTTCAGGGCAGCATATTCATGAGCCAGAAACTGCCTGCCTCTCGCCCAGGCGTGCACTCTATCTTTCACATGAAAGGAGGGAGCACAGGGGGCAGCAGGAGGAGGGGCAAGGCCCGGTTCTAAGCTTTGGACTCCCAGATAGGTAGGTGATCCTCAGGTGAAATGGGTAACTCACCAGATCATGCCTTGGTTGAAGATCAAACCCAGCACGTTTCCACTAATGTCAAACTCAGCATATGAGGGCTAGAGAGAGACAGAATATTATGTAATGCCAGCCAGCTGTCCAGGCCTGGGCTACTCTCAAAGATCATGCTGTGGTAGCTAGAGAAAAATTTTAGGTTCACAATTCTGTTTCTGAAAATGTTTTCAACTTTAAAGAAAGTTTAGAAATTCTCAAAGCTGGACAAAAAAATTGGGTTGGGCATGATGGCACATGCCTATGATCCCAGCTCTTGGGAGGCTGAGGCAGGAAGATTGCCTCAAGTTCAAGGACTATGTAGCCAGCCAGGACTATGTAGTGAGTTCAGGGCAAGCCTGAACTACAAAGTGAGACTGTCTAAAAAAGTGTGATTGTTATCTGTTAGGGACTGCAGACGACACTATGTTCTTGGGAGGAACTTAGCCCCAAAGAGAACATTTGATCAATGTTTTAATTAGAGATTTACCTTTAAATTATTATCAGGGAGTAAATCTAATAGATAATGAAACAACTGAGGAATCAAATGAAAAGATAGCTTTAAACAACAAACAGCAACAAAGAAAAGAAGCAAATTAAGAAAGAAAGAAAGAAAGAAAGAAAGAAAGAAAGAAAGAAAGAAAGAAAGAAAGAAAGAGATCAAGCAAGCAAGCAAGCAAGCTGTTTTAGATCTTCCCCTGACAGATCTTGGGAGTTTTAGTGCTTCACCCCAAGTGTCTGGGAGAACATAAGTAACCCCAGCGGGCGCCTTCCTAGCCAGGAGCTAGGGGTCCTCATGCAGCATGCTTACCTCTGGTCAACAGTTTTCTTCCAGAAATGGAGATTCAGGGAGACAAGAGTGAGAGGAGGAGGAATGACAGGTAGGACAGACAGAAAGATCCACCTGGTCACAGGGCCAGAGTGGCATGCAGCACCAGGATTAAACCTGGGTCCTTGTGCTTGCCAGGCAGGTGCTTAGAAGGCTGAGCTATCTCCCAGCCTCATGATATGTGCTTTCTTCTATACATTTATTTATTTTTTTTTAATTTTAGGGAATGGTCTACAGGGTGTTCAGGGTCTCACTACTAGATCAGACTTGTAGTGATTCTGCTGTTTACAGCTTCCCAAGAGCTGGGATTACAGGAGCACACCACCACACCCAGTCTCAGTCCATCTCAGCATGTCCCAGGAGTGGGGCTGGCACGGCAGGCCCGGGGATTGAACCCCAGTCCCTGTGCCTGCTTGCAAGAACTTTAATCCACTGAGCTATTTGGCCAGCCCTATTTTTTTTTTAAATGTTTAAAATTTCAAGCTGGGTGTGGTGGCACACACCTGTAATCCCAGAACTGGAGAGGCTGAGGCAGGAGGATTGTTGCGAGTTTGAGGCCAGCCTGGGCTACACAGTGACAGCAAGGCCAGCCAGAACTGTATAGTAAGACCCTGTCTCCAAAAGACAAAAAATAAATTAAAAAAAAATTCAATTCACTTACAACTTATGTAGGTGAAATCATAGCAGAAAATGTCCCCCTCCCAGCTAGAACACTTCAGTTTCTGTTAGTTGCCCAGGTAACCTCCAGTTTACTTGAGTTCCTGTTGCTCAGAAATGGCCAGTCACTGTGACACACGCTGTGAGAACCCATCCCCAGGTGACAAGCACTCTGCCTTTGCCCTTCCACCTTGCTACCCCATGAAAAACCTCCCTCCCTGAGTCTTGGGCCTGGTCTCTTTGGGACAGACTGTGGGAAGCGTAATAAAGCTGACTCTTGCCTCCACACCTTGGTGGCACTCGTTTTGGGTCACAGCTATGCTGTTACAAAATGAATGAGGAATATACTCTCCCTATCCCTAGCTCATGTTTCTGGGATTACAAGGGCATGCCACCATACCTGGCTCTTCTCACTGATTTGAAAGATTCTCTTTATCACATAAATGGACACCCTTTATCTTATGTAAATTGAATCTATTTTTGTACTTTCTATTATTCCATTCCATTGATAAATTTGCCAGTTTTTAAATTGTAACTTCATAATATACTTTAATATAATTGTAGGCTTAGTTTCTTTTATTTTTCTTTCCAAAAGATTGGTCCCTAGATAGACCATGTTCTTCTCCCTTATCAGTCCTGAGCACTGAACCCCTACTGTTATGCATGTAAGAAAGCACTGTCCCGCTCAGCTACACCCCAGCTCCTTTTGCCATCTTACTGGGACAGGATCTTGCTAAATTGCCCCGGCCTCCTCAAGCCTTCAGTCCTGCTTAAGCCTCTGAAAAGCAGCTGGGATTATAAGTGTGTGCCACTCATCTGGTCCCATGGGCTTTTTTTTTTTCTTTCTTTCTTTCTTTCTTTTATTATTATTATTATTATTATTATTATTATTGTATTTTTTAGGGAAGGGTCTACAGGGTGTTCAACGTCTCACTACTTGATCAGACTCATAGTAATCTGCCTGTTTACAGCCCCCCAAAAGCTGGGATTACTGGTGTGTGCCACCATGCCCAGTCTCAATTGCCATCTCAGGTTGCCGCAGGGAGCGGAGCTGGCAAGGCAGGCCTGGGGATCAAAACCCTGGCCCCTGTGCCTGCTTGCAAGCACTTTAATCCGCTGAGCTATTTGGCCAGCCCTGGGCTTTTTTTTTTTTTTTTTTTTAATGAACATTAATATAACTTCAACACCTTGCTGAATTTAAAAATCAATATGATGACATCTTAGCAATTGTATCTTCCTATCAAAGATGTCATCAATTTTGAACATGATGTTCTTTCATTCTCATTCTCCAACCAGATTAGGAAGTTTTCCCTGGTGCTTAGGAGTTTACTAGGTTTGCTTAAAACTGGTGATGGCCTAAAAGAAACAAGTATGTCAGAAATCTGTACTAACACTCTTACCCAGAGCAGGCACCATGCTGCAGACGAGGATGAGGGCTATGTAGGTAACCAAGGTATGGAATCTCTTACTGGGAGCTCTATTAAAGTATAGGGGGTCCAGGGAGATAGCTCAGTAGAATAAGCACTTGCCTGGCAAGTGCAAGGTCCTGAGTTCAATCCCCAGTACTGTAAAAAAGAAAGAAAAGAAAAGAAAACAAAGGATAGATCCTCTCCCCAACACCAGGATTAGTGGGTAAGTCAGGGAGGGGTGTGGAAGTGACACATAAACAGGACAAACTAATGAGCCAGAAGTTCTGCCAGATTATAAAAGATCACTGCACTCCCGCCATGAGATTATTGTAGAATTTCTTTAACTTTAGAAAAGACTGAGGTGGCCGGGGAGATTGATGGGGGCTGGGGAGATAGCTCAGTAGAATAAGCACTTCCCTGGCAAGCACAAGGGCCTGAGTTCAATCCCTGCTTCTGCCAAGAAAAGTAAAGTAAAGAAAAGAAAAGAAAAGAAAAGAAAAGAAAAGAAAAGAAAAGAAAAGGTTGAGAAGAAAGTAAAAAAATTAGAAATTTAAAATTACAGGGAAAATATGTATGTGAAAAACAATAAATATTTTTTTCACTTTGCTATCAATATACTCACAATTAGATATTTATTATACAGCAATTTATATTTTTAATTATTGCCTATTAATAGACACAGTAAAATATTTTTGAATCAGACATTTGGGGCTTGTATGTACATTAAAATTTTCTTTTGTACCGTAAGTTAAGTTTTAATTTGAATATTTTATCGGAACTGTCTCCCTGGGCCTTTATAATAGGAAGTTGTTTCTACAACTTTCAATGATCTTACTAAAGAATACTTTAAGAATCATAGAAAAGATCACTGCAGAGAGGAGATGACACACTTAGGGTGTGTAGCTTACCAGGTAGGTAGGTGGAAAGTGTAAGAGTCAAAAGAGGTTTCTCAGCTCATAACCCCAAGGACAGGACAGTGGTTACTGCATCCTCAGTGTGTTCCAGGACTTTCTAAGACATCATGTCTATCCTAGGACTTAGCCTTCCTAATGAGAGTTGAGCCACTCGGACGGTCTCTAGTGGCATCTGCTCAGCACCAAAGTGTGTGCCCACATTTTCCCAATGCCGAGGGCCTCCGCTTCCGACATAAGGTCACACTGGCAAGACGCAGTTCCCTCTACAAAGGCAGTGCGATGCTTAAAGGAAACAAAGTTGAAACACTGCACCACTTCCCAGGGCGGGCCTGCAATGAACCCTGGGAGAAATGAAATGCGCAAGAATGCACCTGACCGCCAGCATCAGAGGGTGGTGGGCCACCCTGCCACAGGAGGTCTGTGGAACAGTAACTTACAAATCCGGCCTCCAAATCCCAGCACCAGCAGTAGTTCATGAACCGGACGAAACAGGCCCGCACGAAGTCCCCCAGAAGGATGGTGATATATGTTACCAGCATGTCGGACACGGTCAGCCTCATGAATTCCTGCAAGGAGAAGGAAGGGGAGGTCAGAGCTTGACACTGCCCTCACCTGGGTCATCTCTGTGAGCCAATACTTCATGGCAGAATAGTGGTGTAGAGAAAGAACACACGCTTCGGGGCATGCTTGAGCCCCAGCTCTGTGAATTGCTAATTATTATTATTATTATTTTTTCTAATTATATAGCTTTGGAAAAATCTCAGAGCCTCTTGAACTTGATAATTACATCACTCTTGCAGGGATATCGGGAAGCTTAGTGATTAGATATGTAAATTGCTTTGTAAATTGGCAGTGCCTAATGTGTCATGTTTGCCCCTCACCTATCTCACCTGCTCTGAAATGCCAGTGATCCCCACTAAGATGTCTCTCTCCCCCCTCACTCCACTCCTCTCTCTCTTTCTGAGATGGGGTCTCACTGTGTCGTTCAGGCTGGCCTGGAACTCACTATATAGCACAAGATGGCTTGACTGGCAGCGATCCTCCTGCCTCACCTCCCAAGGGCTGGGATGTGCTGGGGGTTGTGCACCCCCACAACTGGTGTCCCTACCAGGACTGACTGTGACCAGCAATCACTGGGGATGACACTGGCTCTTTTCATCTCTTACTAATTGAATTTTTCCTTAATACTCAGAGAAAATAAGACAAACACATACCAGAAAAACCAACAGCAGAAGAATGAAGGTTTCTCTGCTTTTATCAGGTTTATATCATTTTTTTTTGAAAAATCGTAAAGCTCTACTAGACCTTATCATAATTTTTAAAACAGGAGATAGATTTGCAGCTCTAAGGGCATGGCAGGTTTGCTGTACTCACTTTGTACCCTCCCACACAATTAGAAAATCCTTGCCGCATGAAAGGCGGATGAGTTTTCAGGGTTCTTCCTGGCACGGAAACATTTAGGAATGAACAACAAAGCACGGGGATGGGGGTCGCCTTTTCAGAGAGCACAACTACTCACAATGCCCACAGCTGTCTCCCAGCAGGGACCCCGGGGCACATCTGCAGGGTGCAGGGGTGGCCGGGGGACACTCTCGTTCCAACCCGAGGAATTGTAGTAATTAAACAGAGTCCAGTGAGTGATGTTCTTTATTGTCGCTTCATTAGAAAGCTAGAACAGAAGATGGAGACATGCGGTTAGGAGGGGCCAGTGGGGATCCATCTGGTTTCACAGGAACACCTAAAATTGGTACCTGTCACCATTCTGCCACAGACTTGCCCTCCCTGCCCTCCCTGTCCCTGACAGAGTCTTTCTAGAGTGCTCTCCCCAAGCTTTGCATCTGTCTGTGAAGTGGGGCAATTGGTTGAAGTTGTCTTTGGGTCTTACCTACAGTTATAGTCTCCTCTAAGATCCATCCATGCTTGCTTTCTTTCTTTCTTTCTTTCTTTCTTTCTTTCTTTCTTTCTTTCTTTCTTTCTTTCTTTCTTTCTTTCGTGGTACCAGGGATTGAACTCAGGACCTTGTGCTTGCCAGGCAAGTTTTTATTCTACTGAGCTATCTCCCTGGCCCTTATTTATTCTTTTTTAGGAAAATGTATCCAGTGTCTCTTCTAGGCGTATAGGACAATGGTGACACAGGAATGATCAATAGAGGTAGAGCTTTTCTCTAGAGGTCATAGTCTAGTAAATGGTAGGGTAAACAGACATAATTAGAGAGCAGAGTGATGAGACTGGTGGGAAATTTCCTCTGGGGACAGGGGAATATCTACATCAGACAATAGAGACACAGAAGAAGACTTCCAGAAGGTAGTGACATCTGGGCCAAGGCTGGGGGGAGGGGCCAGCAAGGGTGGAGAGAGAGATCAGACAGAATTTTGGTGTGTGTGTGGTGGTGGGGGGGGGAAGAGTGAGGTTCAGGAAGGTGGAACACTGTCCTGGGGTAGGAGGGAAGCCATAGTTGAGGGTAGAGGGCAGGGAAGGGCTGGGCCAATTACTTCTGTGCTTGGGGGCTTCCAACAGTTCTTATTAACCTCAGTAAAAGGTTCCTACAACAAAATAATGAGGAAGCAGGGAGTGGCATTTGTCCTGTGGCCCTCCTGATCCCCAGTGTGATTTTCCACTTCATCCTCTCTAGACCCCTTGGCACCAGCTATTTCTCTGCTTTCTCCAGTACCTGCTAAGATTTCCTAAGGAGGGGTCTGCAGCCCTTCCTAAGCACTGCCATACAGCACTGGGCTTGCCCTATCCTAGGCCATCCCTCTCACAGTGGGCTGTAATGAACGAGCCTTCCCAGAATGCACTGCTGGATCCTGTTCTCTGGGGTACCTGGAGTCTGACCTAGAGGGAGCTGCATGTCTGGTGGGCACCGATGGATTGTTAAGCCAGCCATGAGTACCACCTGGGTGGAAGATTACTTGGCTGTTCATCACTTATGGAAGCTATGAGACAAGCAGGAAAAGCTGAAGGTAAAATACAAAGGGCCCAAATTGTATGTATGTGACATGAAAAGAAATAACCTGAGAAAGCAGATAGTAAAGAAATTTAGCAAAATGTCAGCACTTGTGCTTAATATTCTGGGCTTTTTTTAGAAAAAAAAAAAAAACTTTTCTGAATTATTTATTTATTTATTTGGTACAGAGTTTCGATACAAAGCTTGGACCCCTAGTGATCCTTCTGTCTCAGCCTCCCCAGCACTGGGGTTACAGACATGCACCACCATGCCCAGTTTTGGCAGCATGGCGTGCCCAGAGTTCTGGGGCTGGCACAGCATGCGGTGCCGGGGATCGAACTTGGGTCCTTGTGCTTGCCAGGCAGGTGCTTAGACTGCTGAGTCATCTCCCCAGCCCACTTTTCTGAACTTTTATCATTTAACTAGCCTTAATTATGCATAATTAATTATATTTAAAAAGGGAACATGTGAGCATCAAAGGAGTGTGCCATTTCTACCTTGAGGTGGACATCATCCATCAGAGCCAAGAGAAATGTGTAGAGGTTCCCCAAGAAAAGTGCAAAGATGCGCCCCAGCTGCCACTTGAGTCCGATGCGAGGGTGGTAATTCTCCAGTGCAGCGATGGTTTCAAACAGAGGGGGACAAAACATCCCCAGCAGGGACATCACAATTTCCACCTGAGGGATCAGAAAGCCAAGTCTATTTTGTCCATCTTATTATGTGGCCACTGTCCCTTCACCCCATGACCCTCCATCTCCATCTCTCCACTGTCCCTCTCCTTCTGAGGGTGTCCTGTGGCACATGTGCCCGAGCAAGCACTATGTGTCATTGAAGGCTCTAAAGCATTTACCATTGCTGTCCTAGAGTCCCCACAGCATGCTGTATGACCCTGGCCAAGACCTCCGCATACGCCAAGAGGCCAGCATAGGCTTGCGCATTGTCACTGCTCTGCTACTGATTGTTGCTATGAATGTTGCTATTAGCTTGGTGAAAGTAGCAACATTGCCTGAATGAGTGGTGAGTTGCCACAGGCGGCCGAGCTTGATGTTCTGTAGGAGTTGTGCACCTGCAGGAGTTACCCTTGAGCAGTCATCTCGAGAGCTGTGAGGACAGAGAGCTGAGGTCACAGAGGAGCTGCCAGAAGGTAGGGGCTGGGCTGAGCATGGCTTTTGGAGCCAGCTCTTTGGATCCAGGCCTCAACTCTGTCATTTGCTGGCTTCATAACTTTGCAAAAGTTGCATGACTTCATTCAGTTTCTTGTTTTTTCTAGTGAAAAACTATTGACCACAGGCTTTCTTTTAAGAGTCATAAGAAAAATTATGTAAATCTACTAGCCAGAGCCTGATAAGCATTCAGTTGTGGCCCCAGTGTTGAGAGAAGCTTGGCTTGTCTGACAGGATCTGGCTTCGGCAGGATGTTCTCTCTGCAACTAAAATTGCTTTCCAGTGGAATACTAATGGTTGGCCACACTGCAGGCTGGCCCACTCTAGGGCTCGCGCCTCCCTGTGCCCTCAGCCCAGCGCTTGGCCTGGCTTCTCCTTGCCTCCACCCTCCCACCTGCTCATGTAGTTTGCACACCTGGAATTCATCATGGAGCCATGGCCGTGCTTTCGTATTTTCCTAATACTGCACTCAGTCTCATTCCTGCCTTTGCCATAACATGTCTCCACTTCCCCTGCTGTCCTGGACATCATTCTTGTCAACCATCCTTTCTAAGGAAACTGCAGTGCCCTACGGCAGACCCCATCTCCAGCATCTTCTGTAACTATCTCATGGCTCAGTGACTCAGTGATGGCTTCACAGAGGTGATACTTTCTGCCTCTGGCTCTGTGCCTCAGTTCTCCCATGCTGCGAAGATGCGTCCAAGTTCTCGTCTTTCCCACCTCCTGAGCTCATTCTGACCATGTCAGGAGCTCCTGGGGGCTTCCCGCCCACTGGTGAAAATGCCCTCGCTGATGTTCAAGTACACTTATCCAGGGTGGGCTGGAGGTAAGGTTATACAGTCAAGAACGAGGAACCATATAGAGACCTGGAGCCAAACAGGCTGTGACTCCAAGTTCTGACTCCACTGCCAAAGAGCCATGTGTTCGAACCTGTCTCGGCCTCAGACACTTTGTGTAAAAGTGAGGCATAATGATGTTTTCCATGTTGATATGCCATGCTGCATGAATAAAAGAATGCACACTGAGTCAGGCCCAGGGTGGGGATTCAGTTAGTAATCTTCTCCTTTGTTCTTTTTCTATCTCTTATTTATTGTTCTTATACTATCAGTATACTAAATTTTTTTTTCTTTTATTTATTTATTTTTTATTTTTTATTTTTTATTTTTTTGGCAGAACTGGGGATTGAACTCAGGCCCTTGTGCTTGCCAGGGAAGCACTTATTCCACTGAGCCATCTCCCCGGCCCCTATTTATTTATTTTTTTGCAGAACGGGGGATTGAACTCAGGCCCTTGCGCTTGCCAGAGAAGCACTTATTCCACTGAGCCATCTCCCCGGCCCCCAGTATACTAAATTCTGAGGACAGAAAAAAGTAAACCACAAAACAAAACCAAGTATTGCATACACACATTCTGTCCACAAAGATGTAAACAATTCTGTGATGCTAGGGCTTGAATCTGAGGTCTTCCTCAGAGCCCATGTGCTCCAGGGCTTGTTGCCAGCCTGTGGTGCTGAGAGGAGCTGGTGTGGCCCTTGGGAGGTGGAGCTTAGGGGAAGGAAGTGAGGTCTCGGGAGTGAGTCTTTGTGGGGAACACTGGCGCTCACCCCCACTCTCTGCTTGAGCTTCCCAGCTCCCCGGAAGTGAGTAGCTCTGCTGTCACACTCTCTGCCTTGAGGTTTTGCCTCACCACAGGCTCATGGGTCAAGTGACTGTGGCTGGAATTGCTAAAACCAGGAACCAAAATTAATCCTTCCTCCTCGTAAATTGATTACCTCAGGTATTTTGTCATAGCAATAGAAAGCTAACACATGTAACTGGGTAATCGTTATAAAACAAAATAAAGGCACATTATTTAACTTGGACCTGAAATTATTCACAAGTCATGGGAGTATTCAGCAGAACATACAGAATGCTGGGGTGGCTGTAGCTCAGTGAGGAGGGGGACAAAGGATGGGGTGTGTCTGGGAGATAAGTGGGGGAGGCTGTTTAGGGCCTTTTCCTAAGAATAATCAATTGTTTTAATGATGACTATATCTTCACATTAAAAATGATAACTTGGAGGTCTGTGGAGATAATCATAGCCAAAACATGATTTTTGAAGTTCCTTGAATTCTTTCTGTTGTTTTGAGATAGACTCTCACTATGTAGTCCAGGCTGGCCTTGAACTCACTGCACAGCCCAGACTGGGCCAGTGTGAGGCCATGCTTGGTTAACTTGAAAATGAGCTGAAACAGTCTGGACCACCTGAACTCTTGACATTTACCATCCTCCCTTGCAAGCATTGTCCAGGATTAAGGAGAGACTGCTGGGAGTTGAGCCGAGACTGAGCAGGCAGGAGGAGAACAAGGCAGGAGAAGTTCTAGATGAAAGACGGGAAAGAGGCCAGAGTCAGGAACTCTCAGAAACAAGCCACCATATATTTTGAAGATACCACAAAGACAATAGGGGAGCCGGACATGGTGGTAGACGCCTGTAATACCAGTTCTCAGGAGACTGAGGCAGGAGGAGTTGAAGACCAGTCTGAGCTACAAATTGAGCTCAAGGCCAGCCTGAGCTGCATAGCGAGACCTTGCTTCAAAAAGATTTAATAAATAAATAAATAAATAAATAAATAAGGCAACAGGGAAAAGGGGCCTGTTAATTTAGGAAAGTTATCATGAACCATGACTCACTAAAAACTCAGAAAAATGAACTTGATGCAAAAATGAAGAGTAGAAACATATTTTTCAAGGCCAAGTTTCATACAAGAAAAAGAGAATAAGGAGTGGGTAAAATCCTTTCAGAGCTAGGCATGGTGGTGCTCGCCTGTAATCTTGGCACTGGGGAGGCTGAGGCAGGAGGAGAGCTGAGTTCAAGGCCAGCCTGGGCTACAAAGGAAGTTCAGGAACAGCCTGCAGTCCAAAGTGAGACTCTGTTTTAAAAAATAAAAATTAAAACAAACAGGCAAAAAAATCACTTGGCGGCATGAAAACACACTAAAATTATATTTTGTATAAAGCAGCTCAAAATTATACTACAGGCTTTTTTGGTTGTTTTATTGATTGATTGTTTTGGTCTTTATGAGATAAAGTTTCACTATGCAGTTCAGGCTGGCCTCAAACTTAAAGCAATCCTCCTGCCTCAGCTTCCCAAGTGTTGGAATTACAGATATATGCTACCATGCCTGGCTAGTATATTTTTCAAAAGCTCAAAATTATACTGTATTTTTTAAAATTTATTTATTTGGTACAGAGTCTCACTATGCAGCTTGGACTCATAGTGATCCTCCTGTCTTAGCCTCCCCAGTGCTGGGATTATGGGTGTGAGCCACCACACCTGCTTTGGGTGGCTGGCATGGTGTGTCTGGGGTTCCAGGGCTAGCACAGCATTCGGTACCAGGGATCTAACCCGTGTCCTTGTGCTTGCCAGGCAGGTGCTTAGACTGCTGAGCTGTCTCCTCAGCTCCTATACTGCATTTTTGAAAAGCTGAAAATTACACTACAGTATTTAAGAAAACATATAGGTAAAAAATGTAAATAAATGTTAGAAAAATAAATGAAGTGACAGGAGTTAGCAACAGAGAAATTAAGAAGAAAATTATTAAATTTGAAAAATCCAAGGGATCCCAAGAAGAAACAAAATGATAACAAAAAGGGAAGGAAACTAGGAAAAGGAGATTTTGTTTTCACACTTCCACAGTCTTTACTGATCAACCTGTAGTCACAGGTACGTTCACCATAGCAAAAAGTTGTTTATACTACTTGTCATCTGTGACCTGCTTCTCTTTGCCTGTGTCCTCTTTCTCAAGGTCTCTCCAAGCGCTAGATAGCAACCAGACGATGTTGGGTGTAGTAGTTGCACCCGACGGGTCAAAGCTGAGCAGGGAGCTGCAAAATGGAAGCTGCCTGGTCCAGAGCAAGACTTCTCTCTTAGCCTAGGCAAGCTCCAGAGATGAGTGGTCTCTCTAGCATCAGCTGCTGCCAGGAGACCTGGGAAGGCCAGGTGCTGAGCTGGTCTCAACAGGCACCTCCATGGAGTCTTCCATCTGGCACAGCTTAGCCTTTCAGGGCTGTGACCCAAAGCGCTGCCAGGTCCTGGTGTCACTCATCAGCTCAGGATGTGTCCACCCCACCTGCCCCTGCATGCTGGCTCTTGGGCTCCGCAAGTTACTTCTCCATCAACTCTAGACAAAATGTGCCAGTGTGAAGGAAGGCTGCGAGCGATCTGTGGCAGGCACAGTGGAGCTGCCTTTCCCCAAAATGTTGCAGATCAGTTACAGCAAACAGAACAGAGACCATCAAGGGAAACTGTTACTCTGGGCTCCTTTTTGACTGCAGCAAGTACACAGAAGCAGCTGCAGCTTTGATAAGGGCTAGAAGGAAAAATTTTAAAATAAAGAATGAATGAAAAATATTTTAAATAACATTTTAAAAATAAAGAAGAGGTTCCAACCCAGACAGTCACTGCAAACCAGAAATGCCCTAAAGGCATTTCAAGCCTCTCCCCCCAAAAAAACAAAAAAAAACCCTTCTAAAAATAAAGAAGAAGTTAAGAAAGAGGCTAACATAATTTGAGAGAAAATGAGATGCGTTGGAGGCCGACAAAGAAGATCCAACTCAAGGATTGGAGTAGTTTCTGAAGAAAACCCAAGCAATGGAGTAGAAAAAAATTTAAAACAATTCAATAAATTATTTCTTAAGTGGAAAGGATGTGAGTTACCTAGAAGTTTTTAAAAAATGGACAAAACAACAGTGTAGCTGAGAATATTGAGCCAGAATCACTAAAACCAAGATATATTCTAGTAAAATTACTGGTTTTTAAAAAAGAAAAAGAAAATGCATGTGGACATGTACTCAAAGGGGAACAAGTGACTTCTAAGGGAAAGAAAATTAGAATATTTTCATATTTTTCATGATAGAAATGTCTAGTGCCAGGAGAAAGTACAGTTTACATTTAAGATATTCAAGGAAAGAAGAGTGCACTAAGGACTTCACAGTTAATAAAACTTATTTTTAAGCATAAATACAAGCTTATGAATTGCAGAACTCAGGATATATTGTTCCGCGAACATTTATTCATTTTTATTTATTTTTTATTTTTTTGTACCAGGAATTAAACTCAGGACCTTGCGCTTCCCTGGCAGGCCCTGGGCTGCTCGGCTATCTCCCTGGCCCCTTACTGCACGAACATTTCTTGAGGGTTTGTGAGGAAACAAGCGCTATAAGCGTAGCGGGTATCATGTGCGTGCAGCTCAGCTTGGTGAGCGAGATCCGCAAGATCCCTGTCTTCCTACACCGGGTCGTCCCGGACAGGAGCTGAGCTTGCGAGGGCTGTGTCTCCTCCTCTAGTTCATGCAATGAAGCCCTCACCCCAGTGTGACTCTAGGTGCATATAGGGCCTCCAAAGAAGTGACGAAGGCCCAGTGCAGTTACACTGGCTCCTTGAACAATGCGGCTGGAAGAAGAAGAAATTATTGGGGTTGTCATAAGAAGACAGAGTGCTTCGGGGCTGCTCCTGCACAGAGCAAGCGCCGTGAGAGTGGGCGCCGACCACCGCTAACTCGCCGTCTCCCAGGCACGGAGCCCTGGGAGAATCCCGACTTGGCAGCCCTTGCCCTTGGACTTCCAGCATCCAGAACTGTGAGGAAATACACTCCTGTTTTTTACGCCACCCGCTGCGGTACTTCGTTATGGTATTTGGTTACAGGCGGGCGCTGGTTTCCGGGGAAGGGAGCCTGCGGCCTTCTCTCCCTGAGCACAGTTTCAAAGCCACACTTCGGAGGACTTGCATTCAAGGGCGGGCAGGCTCTGTAAACTACCCCACACGTCAAATTCCCAAAAGAGATTTATGCATTCGACCAACTTTAATGTCTTTTATTGTGGCTCTCCCTGACAGAACTCACTCTACCAGATAGCAAGGTATACTAGAAAGCCACAGTGTATCAGTGTGTTGTTAGCACAGGAACAGAGAAATAGAACAATGGAAAGAAAGAGGTCCACATGCGATTTATAATTTATGGCGCTGCAGAGCTGTGAGGAAGGGATCCCTTTTAAATAACTGGTGTTAGAACGACTAGGTCATCCAGATTATTGATATGCTAATTACGGTGTACCTAGTTAAAAATGCCAGCCCTTAGTGCCTAAGAATAAATGACTCTGTTCAAGATGTTTATGAAATCACTGAAACTGATGTGATTTCCTGTTTAAAAACAAGTCCTAAAATAGAATAGGTAAAAACTTTTCAAGACCTTGGTGTAGGCAAAGACTTCATGAATAAAACCCTGAACGCACAGAAACTACCACAAAGAATCAACAACTAAGATCGCACCTTATTGAAAAGCATTTGCACAGCAAGGGAAACCACCAACAGAGTGAAGAAAAACCCACAATGTCAGAAAAAAAATGTTTGCCAGCTGTTCCTCAGACAAAGGTTTACTACTGAGAACATACAAAGAACTCAAAATAATCCGAAAATGGGCACCTTTTTGATGAATACATACTTCTCAGATGAAGAAATACAAATAGTAAATAATTATATGAGAAAAATGTTCAACATGACTGGCCACTTGAGAGATGCAAAAGAAAGTAACACTGAGATTCCACCTCACCCCAGAAAGAATGGCTAATATCAAGAAATCAACCAGTAGCAAATGCTAGAGGAGCTGTGGGGGAAAAGAAACCCTTCTCCGCTGTTGCTGGGAGTGCAGACTGGTGCCACCACTGTGGAAATCAGCGTGGACATTTCTGAAAAAACTAGGATTAGAGCTCCCATTTGACCCAGCTATACCTTTCCTGGGCATCTTCCCAAAACAATTAAAAATCTCTCTCTCTCTCTCTCTCTCTCTCTCTCTCTCTCTCT